ACAATTTTGTGACATGTGTAGAAACAAAATCATGCTTACCATTTTTACTACTATACACACGCGTTTGGCTTTTTGACTTTGCATTATGGATCGAGCCGGAGGGAGGAGGCAACAAAAGCATAAAGAATGAGTTCGCTTTCGTTACCCTTCTGTTTTCTCTCTTCAAATTCTTTTTTGATGTAGGACTTGTTCAAAGCTTAGGCAGTGAAATCACATGTGCATGCTTACAACTTTATATTTGGAAGTTGGCAGATAAAATAAATTTAGACATGAATATATTACAATGAATGATGAATTTGTCTACGTAATCTCAATGAATTCGATGCATATCAGCATAACATAACATAATCTTGACCTCCTGCTATGCATATTGTTGAATTTAGTTGTGGTAGGGGTGGTTGGTTCCTAAAATAAGGTTACTATATATGTGTCCTTAAAATTATCATACCAAAGCCATATGCGACACCTACGCGCAAGCATCACCCTAGGCAATAAAGTAAACCCCCCTCCCTCCCTCTCTCCCTTCTCATTTCCAAATACCCACTTAATCTCCTACTAATTAAAAATTGAAATTTCGATAGAAAATAGAAACACCCCATTATCCATTCAAAGTTTCAAACACCCTAAAGCCCCTTCAGGGCGAGAAAGGGGAAAGTTTCCCTTTTCCTCTTTCTCTCTAACTTAATCTCTCCTCCTCCTCCTCTACCCCTCCTACATGCATGTGTTTCTCAATAAATTACTAATTAACTTGTTTCCACAATCCTTCATTAATTAATAACCTAATATCTATGAGGAAGCTGTGCCCTAACCTTGACAAAGAAGATGGCCTCGACACCGTCCTTGAGGTGCCAATTCCTGAGGAAATGTTCAACAACATGGGCAGCAACGCCATGTTGCGTTGGGCAAACCTACGCTCTTTCATGAAAGCTCAGTCCCACGTCGACAGGTCTTCAAATGGTAAATCCAATTTCTCATCACGATCCAACAATGAGTTCATGGCCTTGCTTAAGCTTGTGGGCTCTCCTCTCATCCCCCTCCAGGTTCACTGCGACAATGCCCTCACCCGCCCCATTAAAGATTGTTCCATCGTACGTAACCTAATTACATTAACAATATCAATTTATGTGCATTTTTCATTATTATGACGGAAATATAAATGAAATTTGCATGCATGCATGCAGGAGGCTTCTACGGCAAAATATATAGTGCAGCAATATGTAGCGGCGACTGGGGGACTGGCGGTATTGAACTCGGTGAATAGTATGTACGCCGTGGGCGAGGTGAAGATGGTGGGATCGGAAATGCGTCAAGGTGATGACTCTGTGCATGTGCAAACCAAAGGCAATAGTGAGGTTGGAGGGTTTGTTCTATGGCAAAAGAATCCCGACTTGTGGTACTTGGAATTGGTTGTTTCCGGCTTCAAGGTCAGCGCCGGAAGCGACGGCAAGGTTGCATGGAATCAATCCGGCTCTCAACCTTGCCATGCCAATAAAGGCCCCCCAAGACCCCTCCGTCGCTTCTTTCAGGTATTGATCACATATGAATAATATATTAACATATTTGGCTCACATTGAAAATGTTACATATACTAAGTTATGTTTCAAACTAATGATTAAATTCTTAGGGATTGGACCCTCGGAGCATAGCAAACCTGTTCCTAGACGCAGTATGCATAGGGGAGAAAACCATTAACAAAGAGGAAGCTTTCATACTCAAGCTTGAGACCCCCACAGAGATCCTACAATCCCAAAGCACACCCCAGACGGAAATTGTTCACCACACCATATGGGGCTATTTCAGCCAACGGACGGGGCTGCTCATCCAATTCGACGACACCAAGTTGGTCAAGATGAAGTCAAGATACGACAATGTGTTTTGGGAAACGACGATGGAGACGGTGATCGGAGACTATAGATACGTGGACGGGATCAACATAGCACACGGCGGCAAGACGTCTGCCTTGCTGTACAGGTACGGGCATGCATTTAACCAGAAGAGAAGGATTGAGGAGACGTGGAAGATTGAAGAGGTTGATTTCAATATTTGTGGGTTGTCCATGGAGTGCTTTCTGCCTCCTGCGGATCTTAAGAGAGAAGACGGTGGAGATCAACAAGGAGTGGAGTGAGCTAGTACGTACGGCATTGCGTTTTGTTCAATTTATTTTATAGAAGCAAAGTACAAAATAGAAAGAAAGAACTGCATGTACATATAGGTAAAACGCAATCGGTTTTGCTTTGAAAGCCTGTGGTTTTTGATCAATTAGACAACAACCAAGATTAATCTAATTTTGGTCTCCTCCAATAAGAAATTAATTAATTAATTAATTTTTTTTTTCCAAGTGTGTCTCTAATACTAACCATTAGAAAAGTTCATTTCATTTGAACCAACAAAACAAATAATGAAATTAACTTAATTTGGTGAACCAGGCCTGAAATATGGGCTTGGGCTTGCTATGTAAAAGCCCATGAAAGTCCTCAGATTTCAAAGCCCAAAAGGGAAAAAAAAACCCTAATTCACAGAAACCCCTATTTAAGCTCTGCTTGACGCCTCTCATTCTTCTCAGTTCTCAATCACTCTCCTGATTTCAATACAAATCCGAATCAAATTTCCTTGTTTGGTTTCTGCTTGCCTGCCTTACTTCCTGCTGGATCTATATATTGAGCGTCTGTTTGGGTATTTAGGTTTTGATTGTGTGTGCATCTGTTTACCCGCTCCTTCCATGCGAAAAATCAATGCTGGAGGAGCTATAACGGATGCAGAGAGCGACAAGGTTGGCTTACCAGCCCATTGCATATATAGGATTGCTTTGGGGTCAAATGGACCTACCGAAACTTACTTTCTTCTCCTTTGCAGATTTATTTTTTGATTTTCTGTTTATTTATGTCGGTGGAGTCAAATGGCAAGTGATGAATAATCTTTTCCGCTTATTGATATACTGATTGTTTGTGTTGACATAAACTCCGCTTATTATCTGATGCCATTTTCAAAATTTTATTTATTTATTTGTAAATTACTATCTGTTTATTTTATTTCTGGCCTATGGGCAACGCATATGATGCTACAAATAACAATCACCGAAATAAATGTGGACAAAATTACTCCGCTTATTATGTGAAGCATTGCCCTGTTTTTGTTTTCTGTTGGCGTTGATTTTGAGTTTTGAAGAAAATGTTCAATGATGAGGAAAAGCAGACGGGCGGACAGAATCTGATGCTATGTAGATTGTCTGCAACTTCCACTTGTGGAATGGCTCTGAGGATCTTTGAATTTTATATAATTCTACTTGTTTGATCTTGTGTAATGTGTTATGGTTTCTTTCTAGATATGTGTGCATTGGGAGACTGGCTGCTATGATGAGGTTGCTCTAATTTATGTCTGGACATATGAGAGATAATCCATGATATGATATGCACCCTTTCTGAGCGCCATATACATTTCTTTTGGTTGAGGTTGCATTCGTGATTCATCTAATTCTTTTGTTTAATAAATAATTATATTATACTTGAGCTGAATTCAGTTGCAGTGAATTTTCCCTTTGCCACACACACTTGTTTCTTGAGGAGGATTCATAAGCTTTGTTTCATTTGTATTTTAATCGTGTCCCAAATGTATTTTTGTAATCTAGTATGTGAGAAATTACACGTTATAAATTATGTACTTGTGTGATTATGGTTATTAAGTGTACTGGAATTCGAATGGGTTTGTCTGTAAAATCATCTATTCATCAATAAATTTGATTTAGCTTTTATAATAAAGTGTGGTTTAGGTCGATGTGTTCAATAATTCATTGCCAATCAGAAATGGGCAAAAAAGTGTTAGGGCTTGAGTATGTTCTGAAGTTGTGGAGGCAGGGGAAGCCCATTGGGCCTCGAAAGTTGACGAGCCGTTGCGTTTCGTCCATAATATTATGGAGTGTTTTGGTTGTCTGACTAAACGGGAGGGATAATATTTAGAAAGGGGTTAAAACTGTTACTTTACACAATCATCCTCCATCCTGTTGTTTTCGGATTGATTTGAGGTTTTAAATAGAGTGCTGCTAAATGAACTCTAAAATTAACTAAGTACACCCTACTATCAAAGTATTTTTTGGATTACTAATTTATCCTAATATAAAATGACTAAAAAGGATATCTTGAATTGTGAAACATGACACCACATATTTTTAGGGTGTACTTAGATCATAGGGTGTACTCAGTTAATTTTAGGGTTCGTTTAGCAGCACTTTTTAAACACCATCTAAAACATGACACCACATATTTTTCCCTACACTTCTCTTCTTCTCCATCTTAGCATTTGGACAGCCGAACTCTTTTATCTCTCAAAACCAAGCCTAGCAGAGCCTTTTCTCCTTTCAATCACTCTTCTTCTCCAAACTTATAATTTTTTCATTTTTCTCATCTTTCAATTCAGAAAATTCCCTAAAATATTTGAAGCTCCTTGTAAAAACTTGTTTTCTCCAATTTCCCTCGTCAAAAGTAGCCACACCAATCATATTGGGGCTTATATCAGCAAGCAAGGCAATCAGTTTTTTTTTTTTTTGGGTGGTCATGAATCAAAGATTTCATTGAAAAAAAGACAGAGACTACAGATAGCCTAACCTTGTCAACCCCTGACTAAGAAGGCAATCAGAGTTGTTTTTTGGTTTTAGATATTGGATTCATTAAATAAATAAAAAATTATGAGAACGTTTTTGTATCATTAGTTAGATTTAGGATATATCAAAAGTCGGCAAGTGCTATATGCTCCCTCCCTCCCGCCCGCCCCTCGTTTAACTGGACCCCACATCTCCATAATTAGCAGAAACAAAACAAATTCCACCGGCTAAATTTGGAATGGTAGATGGCCAAACACTATCCATCATCCATGGCCGTTTCGTCAGTGTGATTAATGATACCATGCATGACGAATCGAATTTGATACATTGATGGCTCACCTCCTCACCCACCCCATTCCATGCCATGCCACCCATTAATTAATTTACAATTCTACACCCAAACATTTACTCACCCCCACCCAACAAGTCTACAGGCAGGGCCACACCCACACACACTAGTGTCCCAAAAAGTCCACAGAGCCTCGCAGACCAAAAAATAATTTCTCTCCTCAGTCTCTGTCTCTCTGTCTCCTCCGCTCTTCAGCCTTTAGCCTGCGCACTGTTGAAGATTATTAACTCCTCCATCTTCTAAAAATGAAAGAGAACGATCCACCGACACTCATAACAATCCCATCAACCACCGCCACACCAAAGGTCTTCAGGAAGGACACATCACCTTCTTCTTCTTCTTCTTCTTCTTCTTCTTCTTCTTCTTCTTCTTCTCCATCATCCAAAGGCAGAAGCTTTTTGGACAAGACTCGCTACAAGTTCTGGGTTTTAGCTGCGATTCTCCTGCTGGCTTTCTGGTCCATGTTCACCGGATCCGTTACCCTCAGGTGGTCCGCCGGCAACTTAACTCGCTTCTCCGACGACTTGGACCTTCCATCCTTCGACGATCTTGATATTCTGGTACTAATATGTTTGCATATGTTGTTCAATTTCATGTTTTAATCAAATCAAATTAAATTACTGTACTGTGTAGTAGAAATTAATTTGTGTATATAAACACAGGAGGTGGAGGAGAGAGAGAAGGTGGTGAGGCACATGTGGGATTTGTACACCCAGAGCAGCAGAAGTAGCAGCAATCGATTGCCTCGGTTTTGGCAGGAGGCTTTTGAAGCAGCTTACGAGCATTTGAGCAGTGATGTTGCCTCTGTTCGGGACGCTGCCGTTTTGGAGATAGCCAAGATGTCCATCCGCTCCATCATACTCGACCCATTTCCCGTTCAACTTCATTCAGCGGTCAGTACATCTTCCTTAAGTTCATTTACATCCAAGTTGAATTTTAGATAAATTTGGTGGTGTGATCTCTCAAAACTTTACTCACTGCTTTTTGACACATGAGGTCAAGGGGTCCTCTGCTTTTGTTTTGTTGTCTTCTGTTTTGTTTTGTTGTCTTCTGTTTGATCCTAGAATCAAAATGGGCATTTCATAATCATAAAGAAAATTCACCAGTCATAGATAGCAAAGTTTCTGTTTGATCCTTAATATAAAAATTTACTAGACTTATGCTGTTTAATTATTTATTTCCAGAGCAATAGAGAATTGAAAAAGAGATCCAAGAAAGCAGAGGAAAGCAACAAGGTAGCTACAGCAGTAGCAAGTAGCTGAAAACTACAATCCTGCCTTCCATTTTGCTACTTACTCATTCAACTCCTGCTCAGAAGAAGTCCACCTGGACTATACACACAATTTATATATAATATTTGCCCATCAGAGCAAGACGAAGACCCATCTGATCTGTATTACAATCTGAACCCATGCATGTACCATGTTTTATATTAAGGAGGATTGCGGTGAATTCAACTGTTTGTTTTTATTTTAGTGTTTTCAGAAAGTTTTACAAAATAGTCAGACATTTACGTACCAAGTATTTTTTGTTTTTTTTGAATTCCCGAATCAAGTTGTGGTATGATTCTGCTAAAATAAAATAAAATAAACTAAATTAGGCGTTCAACTGCTAGAAAGAGAGGAAGCGTGAAACCGATCCTGCGTCACAGGATTAATATTTATTTTCTTTAAATTTTCCACTGTATCAAAAGATATCTGGACGTATTAGCTAATTGGAGCAATAACATGGGTCTTGGCGATTTTGCTCCAAGTTGGGTAGGTTCTTTAGTTATTGAAAACTTGATTGGGATGTCTCATCCCCGTCTTGTTTGTGTTGATTTTATGTGGCTGTGTTGCTTAGGGTTTTTTCCCCAGTTCAACCAAAGAAAAGAAAAGATATATGTTTCGAGTTTGATTTAATTTAATATATAAGAAAGAAAGAAAGAAAAGGCTGAGCTTCAAATAAGAGAGTAGAGAAATGTCAGTCAAAAGTTGTCTTCCAGTGGGTCCCACGTCCACGTAAACTTCAGACGATGCCACTGCCCCCACGCCACTGCAGAAGTGACAGTGAGAAGCAAATGACCACAAAATCCACGAGACTCGTCACGTAACTTCATTATTGGATCAGAAAATACCCCCGTATTTATTTTCCTTTTCACTGTCATAAAAATAGATCAATGTTGATTTTCAATGGCAATTTTGAATTTATTCGGATTTTATTTATTTATTTATTGTCTGGTCCAACATAAATAAAATGTGACGAAAAATAAAGAATTAAAATTAACCGAAAACCCTCTATACTTGGTGAGATATAAGGACTGAACTTGAAATAACATTTATTTTTTCTTTTTTGCAATAAAATCCATGATAGCATGATGAAAATAAGAAGGGAGTTAAAACTCAAATCGATCATTAAACTGCGACATAAAAGATAGCAGATGACAGAAAGATGGGAAGCAAGCAAATGAATGAAACAAAGGGAAAGGGTACCTCGACTGAAGGAGATTCAAAGTCTCCCGCAGGATGATCTCTCAACTAAAGTAAAGCGAATAAAAATAACAAAAGTACTCTTACCACTGGAAGGAACATTACACAAAATCGCTCGAGCAGATAAAATTAGCACTGCTGCTGTGGCACTACAAAAAGGGAAAAACAAAAAATTCTAAGGGCGAAAAGGTAAAAAAGCCATATACAGTCCAAAAGCCAAAATCTATTTACAACTGCCTTCCTTCCTGCCTGCCTGCCTCTTAGAACCACTCTCTAATCCTCCACTGTCTGGATCTCACCCATCATGATGCGGTTACTCACCACATTAAATCCCAAGACAGCAGGGCTAACCTTCTTCCCTTTCAGTCAGACATGTACGTACCAAGTATTTTTTGTTTTTTTTGAATTCCCTAATCAAGTTGTGGCATGATTCTGCTAAAATAAAATAAAATAAACTAAATTAGGCGTTCAACTGCTAGAAAGAGAGGAAGCGTGAAACCGATCCTGCGTCACAGGATTAATATTTATTTTCTTTAAATTTTCCACTGTATCAAAAGATATCTGGACGTATTAGCTAATTGGAGCAATAACATGGGTCTTGGCGATTTTGCTCCAAGTTGGGTAGGTTCTTTAGTTATTGAAAACTTGATTGGGATGTCTCATCCCCGTCTTGTTTGTGTTGATTTTATGTGGCTGTGTTGCTTAGGGTTTTTTCCCCAGTTCAACCAAAGAAAAAAAAAGATATATGTTTCGAGTTTGATATAATTTAATATATAAGAAAGAAAGAAAGAAAAGGCTGAGCTTCAAATAAGAGAGTAGAGAAATGTCAGTCAAAAGTTGTCTTCCAGTGGGTCCCACGTCCACGTAAACTTCAGACGATGCCACTGCCCCCACGCCACTGCAGAAGTGACAGTGAGAAGCAAATGACCACAAAATCCACGAGACTCGTCACGTAACTTCATTATTGGATCAGAAAATACCCCCGTATTTATTTTCCTTTTCACTGTCATAAAAATAGATCAATGTTGATTTTCAATGGCAATTTTGAATTTATTCGGATTTTATTTATTTATTTATTGTCTGGTCCAACATAAATAAAATGTGACGAAAAATAAAGAATTAAAATTAACCGAAAACCCTCTATACTTGGTGAGATATAAGGACTGAACTTAAAATAACATTTCTTTTTTCTTTTTTGCAATAAAATCCACGATAGCATGATGAAAATAAGAAGGGAGTTAAAACTCAAATCGATCATTAAACTGCGACATAAAAGATAGCAGATGACAGAAAGATGGGAAGCAAGCAAATGAATGAAACAAAGGGAAAGGGTACCTCGACTGAAGGAGATTCAAAGTCTCCCGCAGGATGATCTCTCAACTAAAGTAAAGCGAATAAAAATAACAAAAGTACTCTTACCACTGGAAGGAACATTACACAAAATCGCTCGAGCAGATAAAATTAGCACTGCTGCTGTGGCACTACAAAAAGGGAAAAACAAAAAATTCTAAGGGCGAAAAGGTAAAAAAGCCATATACAGTCCAAAAGCCAAAATCTATTTACAACTGCCTTCCTTCCTGCCTGCCTGCCTCTTAGAACCACTCTCTAATCCTCCACTGTCTGGATCTCACCCATCATGATGCGGTTACTCACCACATTAAATCCCAAGACAGCAGGGCTAACCTTCTTCCCTTTCTTCCCCTTCTTCTTGCCACCCCCCTTGGAGGACCCATCTTGGTCAACATCCCCAGCCTCTGCACCGTACGAATTCACATCTCCACCACCAAACCCGGTGAGCTTTTGATCATTCCGACTTTGAAACGCAATTTCAAGGACATCGGCTGATAGCAACTCCTTGTAGTTGAGAAACTTGTCGATGAACTCATGATCAGGATCGTACGACCCAAGGTTCTCTGTTAGAAGCAACTCAGCCTCTGATCTGGATTGCTTCAAGCAAAACTCAAGGAAACTCGTATCTAGCAAATTTTTTAATTTAAATCAGTGATACAATTAATTATGACAATTAATATCGCAAGAAGAACGCATTTGGACCAACAAAAAAAGAAGCCTATATTAGTATTACACCTCTGATCAAGGAAGCCACATGCCTCAATTGTGTGTGTGCTGCTGCGTGCCGGTTTTCATTTCTTGGGGTGCAAAGATTGCTATAAATTCACTTTTTAAGCTACAAGGAAAATCAACTCCTAATACCAACCTTATGCTATGGATTTCACGCATAATTTAATTAAGGCACTTACATACAAATTATTAAGCAGGCCGGAAGGTCAACTTACCTTTTGTCCCAATAAGCCTAATGCTCTCGCTCTTGCACCAATCTCGGAAGTCCATGGCTTCTGCAAAGAAAAATATGACGGGGTAAATAGGCATCAATTAATATCTTTGACAGAAGAATTAACAGTATCATGATAGCACACCTGATTGCTTGGTCATGGCATCTCTTTTTCCTTTTACAGATGACTGAGAAGAGGCAGGTGAGGATGAAAGTAATCGCTCAGTTGGTTTGCCACCCACTGATTTCTGCCGGCTCGATGAACCAGCTGAAGTTCCTTTTACAGGAGTATTTTTCACTCCCCAACTGCCCTGGCTTGCAAGATGAGGAAAATCTGCCCTGCTCACAGAGAAATAAACAAACAAAAAGACAAGCTCAGCTCAAATTTGTTCCCTACCAACATATAAGATGTGAGCAAACTCCCACATGCATCCCACAATACAATTATGAGAGGCAAATTAAGGTTTCTATCTCAGAGCGACACGCAGCCTACACAACCTAACTCAATGAATTAATATCAAATAAGTAAAAGAGTAAATATCTTACTGCTTATTTGCTTGCTTTGATTGGTCAATTGGGCCCCAGAATAAGTCATCTTCTACTTTGTGTTTCGACTGAGAAGCATGGGAATTAATCATGATGGGAGATGCAGTCTTAGACGGAGATGATGCCGAAAGTGACCATGAAGGAACACTATTGTGGGTGGCTGGAGTTGGCTGGGATTTCTGAGGTGTTGGAATCTGATTTTGGTGCTGAGCAGAAGAAACCCTCTTCTCCTGCTCCTTTTGGATGTCTCTTAAAGATGTGGGTTTAAGAAGCTTCCCAGAGTCAGTAGACCATGCTGGAGAAGGAGCTGGATTAGGCATTTCTCCTTTCCAAAGAACAAAATCTCCGAACGAAGGCCCTGATGGGATTGCGGGCAATACTTCCTTTTCTTGCTGTACAGAACGGAAGCTTTTGACTTTCTCAGTGGGGCTTGAACTAATAGGCACATCTACTGGGGTAACTGACACTGAGACCTTAGTTCCAGTACCCTTTGATTTTGCTGACTTTTTGCGACTCTTTTTCGTGTCTTTTGCCTCAATGAAGTTATCGTCATCTACATATTCTGATTGGGCGGGCATAACTTGTGGAGAAGGCTGAGTTGATACACCATTAGGAATCTCAACATCTTTTTCACTAGACTTGGCCAAAACCTCCTCTGCTAATAGATCATGTAATGGGCTCTTCTTGCTCTTTGAATTTTGGGAAGTTTTGGGTTTCCCAACATTTAACTCATTAATACCTGCATCATTTGGAGTTTCTCTAGATACTTTTGGTTCTGAATGGGCTACAACCCCAGCCCAAGGAGTTGGCAAACTTGAGGAATTGACAGAACTGAAAACCTCAGGTACTATCACTTCTGTTTGTGCCTTCCTCTGTTCTTCCTGCTGAATTTCTAGTAAAGATTTGGCCTTAAAACCAGGAGCAGGTTTCCAAGCTCTCTGCCCAATCTGTATTTGGGTACTTTGTCCAGACTCAACAAGCTTAGAATCACCCTTGACTTCAAAAGGTTCAGTATCACCTCCGGAAAGTGGCTCTAATCTTTCAGCTTGTCGTGACTCTGAAACCTCTACAGTAACAATTTCAGATTTACTGCCTTGGTTGCCTCTTGTCTCCAATTTTGTGTCACCAACAACAGGCTTCTCAGTTTCAGACTGCTTTATTTGCTG